ATTTGGTTAGGGAAGTTAGGGGAAGAGAAAGTAGATGAGCTATGGACCTCCAAGCTCCATATATCACTACCTCATTTCGGAGAGCAATTTGTTCTTCTTTTAATGTTTATCAAAACAGTTCTACATTGATTTAATGACTATTAAGAGAGAAGTTCAAAATATGTTAGGCTTTGGATGAATTAAGCACTCCTTAGGTGGCTTCTAAGCGCTCTAGAGCGTCTTTATCCAACATTTGATTGGTGAGCACACCACTTCTTTTGGTTCTTATAGAAAAAAAATCACTAGGCCTGTTCATATCTGTTTTCTAGGACTAACTTGGGTACTCCCATTTAGCCCTTGTGTCATTTGACGATTTCAGATGGGAGAGGATGGGCGGAAAGTGGATAAATGGTATGCATTTGGTTAGGGAAGTTAGGGGAAGAGAAAGTAGATGCGCTGTGGACCTCCAACTTCTTCATATATCACTACCTCATTTGGAAGAGCAATTTGTTCTTCTTTTAATGTTTATCAAAACAGTTCTACATTATATTATGACTATTAAGAGAGAAATTCAAAATCTGTTAGGCTTTGGATGAACTAGGCACTCGTTAGGTGCCTTTTAAGCGCTCTAGAGCTTTCTTTACTCAACATTTGATTGGTGAACACTCCACTTATTTTGGTTTTAATAGAAAAAAATGTCATAAAATACAACGATCTATAACGCAAGTAGGGATTAAGTATTTTAACTTTCAAGGGTAGAGGCGTAGAGAACACAGGCTCCCTAAGAGGTAGACGTTTGTCCGCGCTTGATGGGAACATAGCGATTTTTAAAGCATGTTGAGACAGGTGAATCCATTCACAACTCCATCCTTCACCCTTTTTTATGTGGAAGAAAACCTAAATTTGGTGTTTTGTCCTATAGTGCTTGTGTAATCATGTTGGTTTGATGCTGATTGTGTTTAGCTTCCATTACCAGTTTCATTCTCATTTATAAGGGTCATGCACAGTGTTGTGTTTGTGCAACATATTTACATCCAGCAATTACAACCTTTAATAACATCTAATTGGTTTGTCTTTGTTTTCAAATGAAACATTTGAGTTTTTTCAAGTTTGGAACTTTTAGATGTTGCAATTTTAGGGAGGGTGTTGGAATATATAGAAAGTATAAGCTCTGGTGTATCTGGCATCCCAAACACATTATACACCAATGAACAGGTTTACTGTTTTTTAGAAAGTTCCTGCATGAACAGCTTTACTACTCTTAAAACGTATGCACAATGTTGTTCTTAGTACAAGTAATACATTATTCCTTCCTATTTTTACATAGTTATTTTTGGCATTCTGCTTAAGTGACGAGTAGAGGCTATTTCCATCCCTAAGGCATTTTAATTCCTCAATTTAAACTTCTATAACATCATTCCATGGCTGTATCAGTATATTTCATTCCAACCAAGTACCCAATCCCAGTGTGGAAAATATGGTGAATTAAGGGTAATGGAAATTAAAGTGGCCATTGTGTTCTTTAGACCACTTAATGTTGGGAAACCAGGAAGCAAAATGCCCATGGTGTCTTTAAGCCAAAAATCAAATTGACATTGCTAACACTGATGAGACTCACACTACGTATTGCTATATTATAGTATGACTAGAGAGAAAATTCCTTGAACCAAACATAGTGTAAATTACCATCAGCATATATGAGATTTAGGAACTACGGAGTAGTTTTATTTCTTTCAACTGATTCTGCGATTTTGATTCTGACAATCAGCTAGGATCAGTCAGTGTTGTGTTTGTTTCAGATTCTGGGTAAGTTGTTGATTCTGCTCACCGCAATATGATTCTTAAAAGTATAACTACCTCATTCTCCAGAGTATCTAATTCTTAAATCTGGCATATTCTGAAAGGAGAAAGCAAACCAAATGATCCCTTATTTTCTCCCCAAACACCCAAATTCAGCTCAATCATATCAAGCCCATCTAAAGCCTACACATAACATTTACAGAGTATATCTACACTATCCATTTTCATATACGGGTGTACTTCATAAGTTCATACTCAATAAAACATCTGGGGGGAAAAATTAACGAGACTTGCATCGAGGAGGAAACAAATTTGACGTTAATCAACTAATCCTCATACTGTGTGGTTTGTACGGAGTAGTGATGAGAAGAAGCTTACACGCTAAAAGTCCCGGTGACCTTGTCGTTGGCTGAGCGGACGGCGGATTCGAGATCAAAGCCGAGGCTGGACGACTCTTCATCGTCCTTCGCGGCGGCGTACGCGTTCCAGTCCGCTAGTAGGGACGGCGGCTTTTTCTCGAGATCGTTGCTCGGGCCTCCCGTAAACCACGCCTGTGCTGTTTTATGCATTAGTTTCCTTCTCTTTTGAGATGCTTTTTTCTTCTTCAAAATATGACCGGAGCTGTGGGCAGTAAAGGAGTGCTGTAAGATGCTATTGATATCGGAAGTTTTTTCCTTCTCCCACACTGCCGCACCTTATTGGAATTTTGGAACCGGAAGCAAAAGAGTCGGTATGCAATGCCACACCTTCCTTTGCCATTTTTAGAGCCAATCCCACACTTTTCCAGTTTATTGGATCACTGCATTTCAAAACTTACATTGTTGTATTTCATGATTCTAATATTATTACATCAATACTCTTCTAAAATAAAATATCTTTTAAATATTATGTGAATAGTATCACTACCGTCTATGATTTTAGAAATTGACACAAATGCTCCCTCTTTTCTTTACGGAGTATTATTTTTCTTTCTTTTTTCTACTATTTTTTTTCATAATTTTTTTATTTTCTTTTTTTAAAATTGTTTTTTAAAATTGTTTAATAATCATTTTTTGTGTTTGAAATAAAAACCAATTAAAAAAAGAATTAACGTACACTTCATTTGTTTCAAATTAAATATTTTCATTTTTTCTAAAAGATATCTTTATTGGTTCATTTTCTAAATACGAAAATCAATGAAATATTCCTTTTTTTACTTAAGCTCATTTCTCATTTTTTATTTATTAATTTATATTGATTCTTTTATTTTAATCAAAAATAAAAATAAAAGAAAAGAAATAGAAAAAGATAATAAAGAAAAAAAACATATAAAAAAACACTTTTATGTATTTTAACCAATATTGTCTAACGGCAAAAAAAAGAATAAACCCGAGATTGATGAGATGAGGATAGAAGAAGATGACTTTTGATGTACTTTGCGCTTATAGGTTTGACTTTTACAAAGAAATGGGAGAGTGCAGAAGGAGGTAAGGGACGAAAGAGTAAGTGAAGCCCAGAGAATTCTCCGTGTTGTGAATGAAATCTAAGTACATTTTTGGGAGAAAATCAAACAATATACATGGAGTATAAAAAATTCATACACTCTTGAATATCTCTCAATTAAAAAAATTTGTATAGAATCTCAATTGAATACACCATCATTAAATTTGTTCTTATTGGAATCAGTTAAAAAAGAAATCACATTAAAAATATATTTAAATATAACTACATTATTCAAGGTCACCAGTTCACTACATATTCCAATTACACTAGAATTAACAATTAAAGGGGCGTTTGGTTCGGGGGTAAGGGAATGAGGAAACGGAATGGGATTCTCTCATTCCTTTTGTTGTGGCTTGTTTAAAAAAAGTGCATTCCCTTTCCTTATTTTTAGGTTTTGGATTCACTGTTTTAGGCTTTTATCATTGAACAATGCTAAATTCACAAACAGAATACTCACAAACTTCACAAACTTACTATTTATGGTTTAAATTATCAATTTAAAATTATTTTAGATTATTTAATTTTATTTATTGAATTTCACAATTAGTAAGTTTGTGAAGTTTGTGATCATTTTGTGTGTGAACCAACCATTTTCCTTTATCATTCCCCGCAGGTCCGTATTCCCATTCCCATTCCTTCTTCTCACCCTTCTTATTCCCGTTTCTTTCACACTCGGGCACTGCAACTCCATCTGCAGG